GACTAACGGGGCTATAGTTGCCCAGATCACTTCAACATTAAGCCTCCTGCATTTTATGGGCTAAAGTACTGTTTAAGGAGAATGGGAGTGGAAGCCTGTCGAGCAGCATATCACTAGTCTCCATTTGCGTGCGGCTCCCTTCCCGCCCCTTATTTAAATATGGCTACTATGTTTGCTATTCTTCATTCAGACTGTGCTACCTCCAATATGATAGATATTGCAAGAACCTTTGCTACTAGCCCTGGAGTTTTGCATGCAGAAAATTTTGTAGAAATCTGAAAAGGACATTGCCCAGACCTCCTGACTTCAGCTCATTAGCTTTGCTGTTAGCTTTCACCATGGAGGTGGCAATTTTGAATTCATGGACCACGAATTCGCCAGGGAACTGGCTGAAGCTGCACACTCTTGGTGCCTGGTTGTCATGGGAGACTTTAACTACCCAGACATCTCATGGGAAGAGCACTCGGCTAAATCCGATCAGTCGCAAAACTTCCTCACATGCGTGGATGAGCTCTACCTGACTCAAGAAGTCTATGGGCCAACGAGAGGTAAAAAGTTGCTGGACCTGGTACCGGCCAAAGGGGATGACAGTTAGTGACCTAAGAATCGATGGAAAACTGGGTGATAGTGAGCACAAGCTGATCACCTTTACTATCCACTGCAAAGATGGTAAGTCAGTCAGCAATACAGAAGTCCTCGACTTCAGGAAAGCTGACTTTGACAAGCTCAGGAGGCTCGTTGTCAAGGCCCTAAGGGACCACGACTCAACAGAAAGAGGAGTCCAAGAGGAGTGGTTGCTCCTCAAGGGAGCGATCCTGACAGCACAAGGGATGGCCATCCCATCTCAGAGGAAGGGTAGCAAAAGGGCTCAGCAGGGAACTTGACCTCCTACACCTCAAAAGAGAGACTTATAAAGGATGGAAGGCTGGAATTACCACCAAGGAGGAGTGCTCAGCACTGGTCCATACCTGCAGGGAGCAGACCAGGAAAGCCAAGGCTGCAACTGAGTTCCATCTGGCTTCACATATCAAGGATAACAAAAAGTCCTTTTTCAGATATGTAGGGAGTCAGAAAAAAGGCAAGGGTAACACTGGACTCCTGCTGA